GGGTAAACACAGTGAGCCAGCAATGAACCGCCATCTCCACTCCACTCCACAGATGCTTTGCATTCACCAGCCTTGACGACGCATTTAGAGGATGTGAAGACGCTGTTGAGTTCGTTATGTCGAAGTGGCAGTGTTGTGGGGTTGGGAGGAGAAAGGACAGGCGTATGAGGAGACAAACATCCCACTCGTTTCGTGGTAGGTGATGTTCTTCGCTCTACTCCAATTCACGTGTGTTGGAAGAGGTGACAGCGTTGAAGTGCATCAGTGACATCAACGTCGTGTTGTGGAAACCACTGCCAGTGGAGCAAAACGCTGCCACATTTGTGCTCTCCTTCTTTCCTTTGCCATTCAACTGTTAGTACACTCTTCTACACTCTCGTCACGACTCAATCATGCTTTGCACCACAATTGCTTGACGAGCTGATTTACCGCCTCATGATTTCCCTACTTGTCTAAATGACTACTTAATTGACTTACTAATTGATTCCCTCCTCGACATTTTGCTTGCTTACTTGTGGACTCCTCTTTGATTGTTCGACTGGTTGTTGATAAAGTGATCTTTTGTTTCAATCGGCAGTTGCGTAAAACCATTGGGGATTGATCTAATGGGAGTACGAGGCAATGCCACAGCACTGGTCCTTGAATGCCCACTACTCTGATGTGATGATCAGCTCTTCGACTGGTGAAATCTGTGAAACGATGAGTGTGGGGCAGATGCATGGTTGTGCCGAATTGGCAGATCCATGTGGATGGAAGTGCAGTAGTGGAGAGAATGCGATGGCCATAACGGAATTTGAATGATCAAATAATATCATGCTGATCAACTCAGGTGGAGGTATTGAAGGATTGCTGAGAGAAGGAGGAGGAGGAGGGGAAGGTGGAATTAGAAATTGTGAAGGTGAGGATGGAAGTAGACGAGGAGAGGAGGAGCTGATGCAGGGTAGAGTCGTCTTGTGCAAGTGTGAAGCCTAAGAGGGTGGAGAGATGATGATGATAGGGGGAGCTGAGGCCAAGGGATAAGAATAGTGGAGGTTCACTCGTTTCTTCCACCTTAGCAACTCCAACAATCTTCACCGCATTCTCTTGCTACTCTACCTACTAGCCACATGGAACCCAGACATACGTAGCTGGGCAGCACTTGAGCGAGAACAGAGTGACTAGGAGGAATGAACGCGAAACCTTTCCCCATGAAACCATGCTAGATCAACTCCTTTGTTATTACACTCTCGCTGCATTCTACTGCTTCAACGACTAGAGATAGGGACCCCGCATGCTGGCAGGCACACTTCCTCCTCTCCCCAGTACACTTTCCACACAGGTCGAAATTCCTGTCCAAGTAGAGTTGACGAGAGTAATCACTGAAGTTGAGGTCAAGTGTCACCTCGTGTGCATGGAAACTCGTTAATTCATACGGTTGGCGCGTGAGTGTTTTCCCCACAGCATCGGTGCCTCAGTGATGGCTGACAAGGCAGGTAGAGGAGGCGGAGCCGCGAGGACAACACAGTCAGGGAAGGTGAGGGGCTGTGTAACACGTCGGTTGCTTGTTTACCTCACGGTTTTGATAGAAGGGGTCATTTTGGGGTCTCCGCCATTCTACCATCGACCCACGCCAGTCGCCTTAAGCCCTACCACATCCACAGTACGTGTTCTTCCTTCGTCTTCAAGTTAGTCTCGCAGAGCTACGCTAATGACGTCTCAAATCGTGCTCAAGTACAGCAACAATGTTTATTTGTACAAATTGCTCTTGTTTTGACATTCTTCTGCCACCGCATCCCATTTAAACCCAAACCCCACCGGAGGTACACAAAAGTCAATGCCACTTTGTTTGTGTTACAACTCTACTTAACTGTGGTTAAATTACAGTTTAATCAGAAAAGTGGGAGGGAACATCGTTTTTGGGAAGTAGGGCCCTAGGGATGAACCACTTTTCATTTCCCTAAAATTCAACAAAAAGCTTTATGAATTACCACTGTTGGAGATGTTGTAGGGATTAGAAGAGCGATGCAAATAATCGATTGCCCATGCATTTGAACAACTTCTTTGAATTTTGAATTAAGATCCACTTGTGAATGCATAAACCGCAAACAAATGCCTAAAGACGTAGAATTGGACGTACTTATTCAGTTCCTTTTACTGGAGGACTTAACTGACTTGAAGGCTTTGAACATGCAAACGACGGGAAGCGACTTCCACTGGACGGTTTGTGGGGGAGGGTTGGGAGTCGGACAAGTGACGGACTCACTGAGCACCTTCCTCAAAACTGTAACCGTCAGGAAGG